CCTAGCTCTGCATTTTTACTGATGATATGTTTTGGGTCAGCAGATTTATACAGTTCACACTTCATTATCCAGCAAGCATAAATACTCAGAAGTGATCTTAAGTAGTGCAGATCTTTCTGTAATTTCTGGGTTATTCCTGGATGGGTCATAAAGCTTTAAGATATGGTGAAAGTTAATCAGCATAGATTTCTGCTAACAACGTAAGTAGTCCTTTGCTTGTAAGTTAGCATGCAAAGAGGGGACAGCATGTAGTGCGTTTCGATCTTTCCTCTTAGAAGTGGTCTGACTGACATACTGGAGAGCACCTGAGTGCTTTTGAAGGCACAGACCATGACCGAGGACTAGATAAGTGACCAAAAGTTGAAAAAGACTTCTTTTGCTAACATAAGTCATTCTCACACTTTGCTTGGGATAGACAACTGATCACAAAGGACTCTTCGATCATCAAATTCCCCCCTAGGCAAATACGGTCTAGTCCTGAAACTGGCTGAAATGTGCACCCTCTAGCCTTAAAGTGGCCATTTGCCAAGTTTGGAAACACACATCTTCCATCTGGCCAAGGATATTTCATTGTGTTCTTCCTTTATATCAACTTGTGGGAGCTCTTACAAGCAAAATATGAAATATGAGCAGTGAATGCATCTTTTGCAATAAGCATAAATAAGGGGAAAAAAAGTGCAAATTACTTTCCCTTTATGCATTAATTTCCTCATCATTCTTTGTTTTGCTTTTGGGGTGTGAAGTGTGTGTAGTAAATGGAATGCCTAAAGTATTAGCTATTTGACTTTGTTTTCACTATGGTCATTGTTGAAATCCTTTAAAAAGAAAGTCCCATATCTCGAAAACAAATAGCAAAGTAATTCTTTCTGCTAGGTACGAAACTGTACCAGGAAAAAGAGTGACTGGACCATTCTCATAGAGCATTACTATTTGATATTAGGGAAGGAAGTGGTTAAATGCTGGGGGTGATGTCTTCTTAAAAGAGGTAACTGGTACAGAGAAAAATAAATGATACTCTCATGGCCTAGTGGCTGTGTGAGGAAGGAAGATGTAACCCTGGGGAGAGCCATTCTGGAAAAGAAAGCCAGCACGGGGGTTGTGTGAGCTGCTTACCCAAGGGTCTGCACTGGCTTAAGCTCCACAGAGCTGTAAGCGTCTGGCATGGAGACATGGGACGTGGTGCCTTCACACCTCCTCCAGACTGAGTACTTTTTTGGCTGTTTTTCTCTTTACAGGAACCCAGACCTTTGTATAACAAAAGGTGCCAGTTTTATTCAAGTGGCATAGGATTCCTCTATGATGCCTACCAGACAGAGGTAAACAAATTCACCTCATCACAGGGTTGTTTCTGCTGTGCTTTGAGGGGCTGGGGGGGAGGGAGGCAGGTGTTTGAGAGCATGTCCGTGCCTGTAGGTCACGGGTGGATAGAAACCCTACCGCTTTTCTCCCACAAGTGACTCCCCGCTTGTCCAAGCCTCTGATGATTGCCAATCATTACAACCAGTGAGGTTTTGAGTTATCATTGGGGTTTCTATTCAGTACATTACCCTGGAACTGGAATGATGCCTAATCCATCTATACTGTATAACAGCTGTCCGGAATGTATTTGTCACACTGGCAACTTTCTCTAAGGAGTTTTTTGTAGACTTCAAGTGGAATAGGAAATACCTAAATGAATCCATTTGCATTGTCCAGAAGGCTTAAAATCTTCTCTGTATTTATCCAGCACAGGCCAAGAACGTCAGTGGTTTGAATGCAGCTTTTTTATTATCTCAGTGACATTAACATGGTCGGAAAAGTGCCCATACCCAAATGGATAGCCTCCTGGGAAGTCCAGATTTAGTTTCTCTTCCTATTTTTCATTTTATTAGTGTGGTAAATTGGTGAGAGTGAAAAGGAAATCAAGCAAAGCAGGACTGAAAACAACTAAATGGTGGTATAGCTTACAAGAAGCCAGATGTCATTCATCACCATTCCTCCCACGGCTAAGAAAAAGTGTATGGGGAATGTTGCTGTTAAAAGTTCTAGACCGCTTAGCAAAGTATATTACCAGGCTAAGCAGCTAATACTGCTTAAATCTTGCACCCCGTTGTTGATTCCAGAAAATGTACAACAAAAATATTTCCTTTGCCTCTTTGCCTAAAGACCTATCCAGACAAACATCATCTGTGAGAACACCCTTCCCTGTAAGTTTTAATCCATCCTCTTCTGAAGTGTGCACGCATGCTCAGACACAGACACGGCCCGAGAAATGCTTCTGATTCCTGTAATAAGTGTGTAGCTGGCGTCAGACTGACCACAACTCCCTGCAGGTGACCTCAGCCTCGGGCTCCTGGCCACACAGGTTTCCCCAGCTCTGCAGATTCTGGGAATGTCTAAAGTTGGGCCACCCAGCGCTCCTTGCTCTATTCTGGCAAAACCCCCTGTATCTTTTAAAAGTGTAGTTAGCTGGTAATAACATTCTTGTCTGGTTGTCCACTGATCTACACTCGGCATGTGCTAATTCAGAGTTAGCGATCCATGGCATTTGAACTTGGCTTTTGCTTTTCCAAAGTTAGCCAGCTAGTGAGCAGGGGACGCACTCTGCATGCCAGGCAAACACCTAACGAGGAAGGCAGATTGTTTACTGAGTGCAAATTTCCTTTTGATTGCCATCTCTAGCTTGGGAGTGGTCTCCAGATCATCTAGTTTGCCTGTTTCAGTTCTTCTCTCTGCTCGAAGCAGAAAGAATTTGATTTTCTTGCAACTACCATGAGGTGAGAACATCACTTAAATTGGTGCTGAGGGGATAGACAAGGACAAACAGCCAGAACATGAAAAAGCTAAATGTCTGGTCACTGAAATGAAATAATAAGTCTTGACATGGAGAATACCCACAAATGGACTGTTTCCACCACCCTTGCTCACACCACACAGTAATTTGTCTATTTTGGTTTACTCACTGTTCTCCTAAAAAGGAGTGTCTTGCTCTTTGCATGTTTTAAAAATGCAGTGATAAAAATAGACAACTACAGTAACTCCCTTGGCCAATAATATAATACATCTTGTAGCCTAGAAGCAGCTAAAAACATGTTTAAGATCTTGCCGATCTCCCTCTTTTGTACTTCTAGCCATCTACAGTAAAAAGGGGCAAACTGGCCTTATTGATGCTTGGAGAGGGGAAAGCTACTTTTATTTCCTATCAGAAGTGGTCCCCAAAGCCATGCGTCAGAACAAACCACCTTTTTAGCAGCCCACTCCATCTTACGAAGCCTTCAGATACCAATCATGCATGTGTAATGTGAAAAGGGTATTTTAACTATGCAGGTCTTAGGCCATTTTGACTGCATAACAGGGGGTCAAACCCAAAGTCTTAAGTTCTGCTAAGTGCAAAAGCACTTTGGTGTCCCAACAAAATGGCTGTGGTAGCGGATGCGTTGGCACGCTCTGCTCCAGGATCAGTTTTCAAACTGGTTTGAGAAGTATCCAGGTGTGATGTTTCAGTCACTTCTGAGCTGGATCTTGATTAAGCCGCCACAGTCATCGAAGGTAGCGCTCTCCTCTTCTGCAGTAACCTGCAGCTTGGGCTGAGGACAGCTGCAGCTGAATGTTACTCCAGGCCAGCAAAGCCCTTACGGGAGATTCCAGTAAATTCAGCCACAACAGAACAAGGTTGATGAAATGAGGGTCTATCTCAGGGTGAGATATTCTTGTGACAAGTGGGATGTGTCAGTATCAAGCTGTGAGTACCATTTCCAGACTGCAACCTAGGCTAAGACCGTCCTTTCATAACCTAACTTCTATTTTGGGCTAGAAGAGCTGATTTGTATGAGACACTAACCACAGGTACAGCCTTGCCCTGGGCAGCAAAGCAATCCCAAGGCATCATTTTAACTTCCTTATAACTTTAGCTTTGTCACCCAACTTCCACTGCTAAAGTGAATCCTGCTAAGGACAAGTGCGGCAAGCCTCAGAGCACTGGCCCAGGCTGTCCAGGGGGGTTGTGGAGTCTCCTTCTCTGGAGATATTCAAAGCCCGCCTGGACGATGTCCTGTGCAACCTGCTCTGGGTGAGCCTGCTTTAGCAGAGGGGTTGGGCTGGATGATCTCCTGAGGTCCCTTCCAACCCTTGCCATTCTGTGATTCTGTGATTCTATGTGAGACCAGCTGCAAGACGAACTTTCTCTGGTGCTCAGCGTGTGTGTTTAAGGCTTTCCTTTTTGCTGGGAACAAACATGTGACGAGTACAGACTCATCAAGAGTGGTGGTTTTCACACTAAAACAGATGCACAGATCTAGAACTTGGGGGCTGAGAAACATCTGCCTTAACATCTCCTGTGGACACTACCCCACAGACTAACACATTCATGGCAAAGCAGAACTGTCTGACAGAAGCTTTTCAAAAGCAGGCACGTATTCCTTCTACTTTTTCATTATGAGGAATTTTCCATTCAATAATGCATTTTATTTGCACTTTGCAAACAAAATACTTCTCAGTGGTTACAGTATGTTTTTTCTATCAAAATAAAAACTATAGAAAGAATGTATTTTCTGACCTGCTAGCTTTTAAAACCTGGCAGTCCTCGGACATTTCAAAGTCAATAAGCTAAAAATCTCAGGAAAAAGAGGTCTTATGTATAAAATATTTCAATTGGTCTGTAGTGCCAAATAGAAAGGATTAATGCTTACCACACTTAAGGAGTCATTAAAATGATTTCTTGTCTGGATGGAGAGTGGCTTACGTGTGCCTACCTTTATCGTTCTAACATCTGTCCATCCCTGCAATTGCTGCTCACACAAATAAACCTTTTCAGTTTTCTATTCAAGAGCCTGCAGTAAATGGTACTTATTTGCTGGAGTGCTGGAATCTTTTTTAAGCAGTTTTGTTTGTGCGTTTGGAGATTGTTCTTCTTGTCGTCGTTCCTAATTATTTCCTTCTTCAGGTGGGTGTTACTGAAAGGAGAGAGCTCCCATTTATTGGAAGCTGTTCAGATAAATTGGCTTCTTCACCCATTTCCCCACTATAATGGAGGAGTATTCTCATCCACTTCAGTGGCTTGCTGTGGTGTGTCTCTCAGGACCCGTGGTCCCTCTGTCACAGCCATAGGGGATCCGCATCTCGCAGCTGCAGACTCTGGGTCTCAGCAAAATGGCACCAGGCAGTGAGTGCAGCAAAGCGCTTGGAAACTCTGGCAGCCCTGGATGCGGGTCGGTGCTGGGGGCTTGGGGCTCCATACTGAAATGCCCCAAAACTCAGGGTCTGATGTCTCAAATGAAACTCCTAGGGGCTCAGGGATGTCCTTCTGCCCTGCAGTCATGGATTTTGGAATCTCAGGATCTTTCCACACAACAGGTAATAAAACCTGAGACTGCAGTAGCTGCTTCTTTGTAGTCAGTAGAATGATTCACACAACACTGAAACATTGAGAATAAAAGTCCGTCTCTTCTTTTTTGGCAGGTGACATGTTATACCTTAAACAACAAGTGCCAGCTGAAAGTAAAGAGTAACACGTGCTATTGCTGTGACCTGTACAACTGTGAGAAGTAAGTACCTGTGTGCAGTCAGTGGGCTCTGAGAAACCCTTGGTTGGTTGTCCCTCCTCTTAAATGATGACAGGGGTGCCCTTAGGCCTGGACAAGCAACACCAAGGGGCTTGTAATGCTGAGCAATCCACTTCCTCTGCAACTGATGTCCTGACGGCAGCAGAGAAGAGGTCAGGGGTTGCGTATTAGCATTGGCATTATTTCAGTTTCTTTTTCTTTAAATATGTCCATAAACTCTTTGTTGTGTGGTCAAAATTGACGACTCAGTCATAGCCTTCTCAAGATTTACTGTTGATCTTGCAATGCAATCTTCCCGTTAGATTTAATGAATCCTTTATTTTTTTTTCTACCAAACCATGGGAAACAAACTGAGTAAGAACATAGGTGTCCATGAGCAGAGATCATGTGGTAGGCATATGCAGAGCTCTTTTGTTAGCAACAGCCTCTGTAGGCATGGGATTTTGCTAAATTGTCATAGGATAGATACAGAGGGTCTTGTGAGTGTTTTCTGAACCTGTCCATTTGACTTTGTCATTACCAAAGCATGAGACCTCAGAAGATAAGAGAAGAAATGTATGGATATGCTGAGATCAGCTGAAGGTTAGCACAGGGTTTAATGGGAGTGAAAGAAGGTGGTTAGGAAAACTACATCACAGCAAAATCCAAGGGTTTATAATGTGGAAAACAGATGAAACGAACTCTCACAACTAACTGGCCACCTGGCCCATAGAGATTTCAACTGCAAGCAACATCATGTCTTGCCACATACCAAGGAACTGGGGAGAATTTCCCAGGGCAGATCTGCCTCTGCACACCTCAGTATCATCTTAGCAGGCACTCCCATGCAACCTCTGCAACCCTCTAGGGTTCACCCCCAGTCACTCTTCTTTCTTTCCCTCTGTGTATTTCTCATCTTTCTTCCTTCCTACCTCTCCTGTTTTATTTTGGTTTTGCCTCCTTTTCCCATGCTAGCAGCCCTGAATAACCCCAGTCCTCTGTAAGCCTTGGCTAGCGTGCGGCCAGACATGAACATTTTAGGTGTAGGGGAATGAGGCTGGCACAGTGAGGCTTCTACACAAGGCTTCTGCATAACAGAGTAGCTCTTGCCCAGATCCTGACTCAACTAGGGAAGCAAAATGAAATTTGGGACTAGAGGGAAGTCATCTATGCATAAGTATTCCTCACGCACACAAGACACACAAAGTGAGTGCAGGTCTATGGGATGGATTAAAATCCCCTATGAACATCAGAGTCTTTTGCTTGTGTGAGAGGTGTTAAATCTGGGCATGATGGAGGTATACAAAACAAATGACATGGGAAAGGTAGGGTATGCACAACTTTGGTACCTTTTCTATGATAGACAAATGATGGAGCATCACAGCTGCAATGCAGTATCTTTACACTGAGAATGATTTCTTCCATGGTACACAACTAACTGCTGCACGTTAACACTGAATCGAACAGCCCAATACAGAACGGAACAGGGGTCTTCAAGGGGTGAAAACATTCAGAATTACCAAATAAAGTGACTGAAACTCTGTTGCTTAAAGCATAAGGTAACAAGGAGAGATCAGGAATACTCCCCTTCCAGATGGAGATCCTCAGTGTCATTTTTCTAAGACATCAGATTTGTCTGAAACACCTGGGACTGATCACTGCTGTGAGAGTGATACAATTAAACATGTATGTCCTGCCATTGTCAGCAATCCACAGTGGACAGCAAGATCTTATGGCACTGGCATGGACAAATCCAGAGTAAAGAAACAGTCTTGCTGCCCTACAGACTTTGCAATTCCAGTCCATAGGACAGCTGGAGAGAAGTAGGAGGAGGTGCAGTCACACAAAGTGACTTGGTGTCAGCCATGCAATACACCAGTACATGGGCAGGATCGCAAGTCAGATTTCCTCCACCTCATGGCAGCTGAAGCTATAGGTTTATTTAGTTAAGCAACATCTGGGCTCATAATAGGGCCCAAGCAAACTCAACAATAGTGGATCTGCAATGCCAGAACCATGCCCCGCAACAAATTATTGGACATTTCCAGGAATTACTGTGCTTGGCTTCGTTCTTCCCAGAAATGTTGTGGATTTCTCCATGCTGCTACTTTCCTCTGCAGAGCTTTCCCTAACCACCATCTCCACTGCCGCCCAATGTGCTGGGGATGGAGGAACAGAAGAGTGAGCGCAAACTGCTCACTTCTGGTTTCCACCATAACCTGATGGCAATTTCCTAACAGTGCAAAACCAGACGGCATTTAAAAAATCTCTTCAACTCAAGTAGCTGCTCTAGGAGCTCATTAGTGGGCTAGGATTACGGCAGGTACTGGAAAGAACTGCAGGAAACTATGGTTTCAATTTTTGCAGTAGGATATTTCTGACTTTCGGCAAGACAGGGAGGATTAACTTCACAACATGTCTGATTTACAATAGCCAGTGCAGTGTAGAAATACAAACAAACAAAGATTTCTGGATAGTACAATCCATAGTGTAAAGGCACATCTGTATACTGTACTGTGTTGCATCTGTTAATTCGGAACCACAGACACCATAACCAAATGTAGCCAGCTGGCAAAATCTCCCTTCCTGTGGTTGAATTAATGCCTGAGCAACTTGCCTTCCCCACCTTCAGAGATGCCAGCAGATTTCCAGGTGAGCTGAGGAAAAAAGCAAAGCTAAGCATGCTTTAGTTGGTAGCTAAATGGCAAGGGCGGCATCCATATGCCAGGACTGTGCCTGTGTTCAGAGACCCTGAGAAAAAAAATAAAAAGAATCTCTGCTGGTGCACAACACCGATCAGACAAACTAGGGTTGGTGTTAGTTGGACTACATGTTTAATGATAGCATTAGCAGAGCCAAATTTTGTCTACAGGAGAACTTTCTCCAATTCATCTGAGCAGCGTTTGGTGGGAGCATGGCTGGAGTACTTTGCCAAAGAGGAAAGTAAGCACAAGGGATTCAGATCCTCGGGCGCTCTGTATTATGTGCGAAACCATTCCCACTGCAGTGACGTTGCCTGCATTCCCTTTCAGTTCAGAGCAGTCCTCCAGCTACTATGAATTTCTCGGCGTGAGCGGCTGTCAGGACGTGATTCACCTGTATAGGCTGCTGTGGTCCTCCACAGTCCTCAACATCATCGGGTTGTTCCTGGGGATTATTACGGCAGCCATTCTCGGGGCGTTTAAAGATATGGTAAGGTTCACAGTCTTTTGCCTTATGTGAGGACGTCTGTGCTTGTTGATGTTGTCAAATGGGTTGAAACCAAGGAAGCGTAAGTGTACGAAGGAGGCGCTTTAAAGTGTGGTCTGGGAGTTTGGAGTTGTATCTTTAGGCTAAGCTGTTGCCAGCTGCTCACAGCTAAGTAGGTCAAGCCTGGTCAAATACATGAATGGAAGGAAAAAAAGCAGGCATCTCTGTGAACAGATGCTGGCAATTCACTTAGTGGCATCTTTTTTTCCTTCTAATTCAGCGTTGAACATGTGGGCCAGCACAGAGTTCGAGGACGCTTGTTTGTAGCTAACATGTAAAACTCACATCCTAGGTGTGACTATTTTAACCTTACGTAGTTCTTTTCCCAAGAATGGGGATTAACTCTGAAGTAGCAGTCAAGTTTTTATTTGAACACTTGTGTTCAGGTCACATTAACCTCCTCTTTTGTTTCACTAAGGAATGCCACCCTCTAACTGCTCCCCGTGCCACTGCATCCGGAAGAGCCTGTGTGCTAGGAGGCGTTCTGTAATACAGTGCCCATCTGCCTAGGTTTTCTGACATGTTAAAAGGGTGAAGTAGCTGTTCCTGGGATTATCACTGGCAGTGGTCATGTTTGCTAAAGCAGTGCCTAAAGACCAACCCAGTGGCTCATGATTTACTAGGCACTCAGAAGAGAAGAGTAGATGGTCCCAGCCCAAAGAGCTTCCAAGCTAAATGGGCAGAGGTGTGGGGATGCAGGTGAAATGCAGGAGCTGAAGGGAGGTGTGATAGCAGCACAGGTCATCTTAGATCCATGATGTGTCTGGTGACTATTCCAGAGGAGAAAATTAAATAGAATCACAGGTGAAAGGAAAGGAGGGAGGGGTGGAGCACAGAAGAGAAAGCAAGAGAGACGGGTGAGATGTACGCCAGGGGGGGCAGACCAGAAGGAAGGGGCTGCTCAGAGCTGGCAGTGAGCCAAGGACTCAGTCAGACTGGAGGCCATCCAGGCCCTGCTCTGACCACCGGTGTCACTTCGCAAGCATGGCCAGGCTATCCACAACACGTGTTGGGTGCTTAAAACCACATGACAGAGCAGGGCCATATGAATTATTTGAAATTCACTGTTGTTAGGAGTTGCAAAATGTTTGCTGGAAATATTCCTCTGTCTAGCTTAAGGCAAATAAGCACACTGAGCCTTTGCATGTAAGAAATGTGCAGCTGAGATGTCCTTCATGTGAGGGGACTCTTGCAAGGAGCTGATAACAAATTGCAGCCAGCCAGGAAAGAGTTGTGGCTGCCCGACGGTAGTGGAAGTGGCTTTCCCAGCTTAATTCACCGCCTCCCTGTGAGAGGAGCAATGGCAGAAGAGGAGTAGACACAACCACAGTGGGAAATGAGGGGAGAGGCAGCTACATAAAATCATAGAATCACAGAATGCTTTGGGTTGGAAGGGACCTTTAGAGGCCATCTAGCCTAACCCCCCTGCAGTGAGCAGGGACACCGCTAACTGGATCAGGTTGCTCAGAGCCCCGTCCAGCCTGGCCTTGAATGTTGCCAGGGATGGGGCCTCCACCACCATGCTGGGCAACCTGTTCCAGTGTTTCACCACCCTCATTGTAAAGACTTTCTTCCTTGTATCCAGTTTAAACCTACCCTGTTTTAGTTTAAAACCATTACC